TATATATATATAGAGATGACAAAGTTTGGGGTTCGGGGGAACATGTGTGCGTGTGTGTGTGTGTGTGTGTGTGTTTTCCCCATATAGGCATATTTTCAGGAACATTTGTCTTATTGTTTCCCCCCTTTTTAATTAATAACAGTGCACCATTTCACCAGGAACTGTGTTCTCTCATATACATCTTCTCAATGGTTCCCCCTCAGGGATGAAATGGGATAATGTGGATATGTCATTTTGCTTGGATGTCTCAGGATCCCTTTGCTCTCCCATGCTCTGGAGCTAAACACCCCTGTTCTCCCAGTGCTCAGCCTCTCCTGCTGTCAATACAATGATTCATACATCCACAGTCCGTTCACTCTTTCAACACACATTTATTGATCATCTTCTATGTGCCAGCAATGTTTTAGGGATACAGTGATAAGCACATAAGGACTTGTGGCATCTGCCTCCTTAGGCTTTCACTCTACTAGGGATATTAATCAAATATGTACATAAATAACTGCAAAATGTAAAAAAGAAACTCTGATGAACTGCTAGGAAAAGGTTCATGATATTATGAAAGCCTCAAATAGGGAGTCGTCCTCATCAGAGAAGCTTCTCTCAAGAAGTGATGACGGAGTGAAGGACAAATGAAAGTTAAAATAAGCTAGGAACAGAGGGGAGAAATGTCATTTCAGGAAGAGGATAGAGCATGAGTAAGGCCTTATGGCAGGAAGCAAAAGGAAACATGCCACATTGGAAGAACAGAAGGACGGTCAGTGTAGCTGGAGTTGAAAAAGCAAAGAGCGATACAGTGTAAGAAGAGCCTAGAGAGGAAGGAAAGAGTCCTACCGTTCAGGGGGGGAATGTTAGCATTAATTTGGATTTCAAATGCTTATGGAGAACATACCTTGGAAAGTAGCAGATCAAACTAAAGAGAAAGAAGGATTTTTGAGAGACCACGGCTTAAATTAGTAATTTGGGAATAGAAATGCTACATCAAGGTGAATAGGGAGTCAGTGACATGGAGACAGTTGTCAAAAATGACCAGGTCAAGGAACTGGCAGGCCAGGTGTTGGGTGGGTCATCTTATTGGACATTGAAATCACCCACAATTATGGCGAGGCTTGAGGTGGAAATGAAAACCGTAACTCAATGCCAGAGGCTTTGATAAATGTGGGTAAGTGACCGGGAGGTTACAAATAATTGAGAACTGACCATAGTTGCCATGGTTCTGTAACAACTTGTATAATTTCTCTGTGGGGAATTACATCTCCTAAAGGTTAATGCTGTGGCTGTTGCAACTGAGCATGATTACAGTATTTATTAGCTTTATATAGCCCTATAATCCCATGATTTAAGTACTTCTTAAGCATAGCAAAAAGTTGGAGAAGAATTTCATGGGAGGAGAATAAATAGGGAAAGCTAAGATACAAGTCTAGGAAGGCCCCCTGTGGTGACTTATGCCAAGAAAGTTGCAAAAATTTCCTCTGTAGGAGCTGAAGCATCAGCAAGGCCACGATTGCTTTGTGTAAGGTTGTGGTAACCATACTTTAGGAAGGGTCAGTTGGAAGTGGTGTGATGGACAGATTGGGAAAGGGAAGAAGACCAAAAGAGCACAGTTATGAGTCAACTACTGTTGTTGGGGTGAGGGCTGATTGGACTTTGAGTGAGATCAGTGGGCAAAGAAGGGAAGGAAAGTGTGGTATACAATATCTCAGGGGACTCACTTATCAGCCAGGCAAGCAATTAAGTACTACAGTGACTAGGAGAGAGAGAAAGCCATAGGCAGAAACCAGAAAATCAGGAAGAAGTTCATTTTGTGGAAGAATACACCTTACATTTCTAGTTCTGGAGAACATCAAGGGGAGGTATCCAGGTGATGACAAATGTAGGTGCTAAACTCCAGGGAAAGGTGGACCAGAAAAACCCCCGTTGTTAACCCCTAACCACAGATGCCCATCCTGGCCTCCTGTTTTTTTCTTTTCAGTCCACAAGAACTTCTCCCTTCACTTCCCCTGACTTCTTCCACTAATTCCTAGTTGCTTACAGCTTACTTCTGAAGACCGTGTCTCCTCAGCTCCCCGCTTTGTTGTTCTCTTCCCCAAACATTCTCTGGTTTCTTAGAAAGCCTCCTCTTTCTTGCTTGGTTCCTCTCATCTGTGTCCCCACAACCCTGATGTCTTGTCATGCTTCCCTCTTAACTATTTCCTCCCTCCAACTTTGGGCTTTAGAGGACAGGGACTCATTAAGTGGGTCTATGTATTTTTTCCTTTTCTGGTTCAGTAATAATTTGCTTAAGGAATTAGCTAATTAACAGGTTTATTTTAAGGGTTTTACATTTTGAAGCCTTCATTTAAGGAAAAAAGTAAATGGGATGAGGGTGCCTGGGTGGCTCAGTGGGTTAAGCCTCTGCCTTTGGCTCAGGTCATGATCTCAGTGTCCTGGGATTGAGCCCCATATAGGCGCTCTGCTTGGTGAGGAGCCTGCTTCCCCTTTTCTCTCTGTCTGCCTCTCTGCCTCCTTGTGATCTCTGTCAAATAAATAAATAAAATCTTTAAAAAAAAAATAAATGGGATGAAAATTCAAAATAAATCCATAATCCCAAATGTCACAGATGAATTTACAAAGTTTGGGAAGTTGTGCACATTTTCCCTATGGTCAAGTGCAGCTGGGCGGGCCCTGCTTTATTTTGTCCTCTTTCCTAATGCACTCTCTTATGAAGTGTGTAGAAACCTAATCAGAAAAAGCAACATTTATTCTTGGAAGTGGGGACAAACTTCTGTTTCTTGCTCTTCCTCTCTCACATTGTCTTTGAAAGTCTAAATGAGATTTAAATGTTCTGTATGAACTACTGGAATATGTATTTGCCTTCCAATAAAACTGGGTCTTTTAAATCCCAGATCTCCCATTTCAGCAATACCCCTCTCTGCATCTGCACAGCACAATGTCACAGGAGCACCCTGATTAGAAGGCATGTTAGTGGCTGACACTGCAGCTGGCTCACTCAGAGTAGAGAGGAAGAAGACTGAGTTTCGAGGTTGGGAATGGCATACATTTAATGGAAATTCCTAGAAAAGGGAGCCAGGGGAGCTCAAATAGGTAAGAGGAAACCTCAAAGGTAGTGTTGAAAAATCCAGGAGGAGAATTTGCAAATCTAAAGAGACGAAAAGTAGATTTCATAGTTGTCAAGGGCTGGGGTAGAGGGATACTGGGGGTGACCATTAATGGGTGCAGAGTTTTTGAGGAGATGATGAAAATAATCTGTAGTTAGTGGTAATGGTTGCACAACTTCGTGGACTTATCAAAAACCACTGCATTGTACATTTTAAAACAATTAAAAAAATAACAAAAAGAAATTGCAGGATGTGAAACATGGAAAACTAATCAAGCTAAGACAATAAAGGAAAAGATGAAGACTGATGGATTGATTGCCTGTATGGAATTTGGTGATTAGGAAGCCAGTGGTGGGCTTAAAGAGTTTAGTTTCAAAGAAATAGTCACTCCCATCTCTTCTTCTTTCTGCCCCATAAATATATAGTGTGTAAAGTTATTCCTTCATATACATTCATCTCTATTGGCAGAATGTCCGGTGGTTTTGCAAATTTAGGGATACGTTCAGTTTACATAAGCTAAAAGGATATTCCAGATGAGTTTTGGGAATTATGATTATGTGTGCTCCTGCTCAGTAGGACATAGCATAAGTGTCATTCTTCCTGTCCTTTGAAAACCAGATCTGTAGTGCAAAACCAAGTCAGTTCATATAGTCTTCATCTCAGATGTAATTTCCAATGACCCTAAATGGAGCAGGCATTACCTTCTTTGAATTCTGATAATAACTTCTAGTTGTATGGCTATTCTGCAAGTTATTTGCCCTGTCTTGCATCAGTTCATTGATGGAGTACTGCCGGCCCTATGACCTGCATAGGTCAACCGCATGTATTCTGTAGCCATATTTCCTTGATTTGTAAATTAAGGGTAATAAACCTTAATCTGAGCACCTCTTCTGAGAATATTATATGAGAGTGCTTTAAAATCTACTAAGCAAATGTAAATACATTTTTAATTGATTCCGTTGTAGAATTGAAGACAGTTAAATCCTTTGTTGCTTGTTAGCCTTAGACTGGTATAGGACTGACCCCCTTAATGCCTTGTATGTAGGATCACAGGCCTCGCATCCATGTATAGCTTGCTAAGGCCTGCCTTGCTCAATAGTAATTGGTTGAATTGAATACTGTTTAAATGAGAAAAATTTAGTGTCACACCATGATTGAATTCTCTCTTGTCTTCATCTTTCTTTGTTAATTTGTCTTATTCTGCTCTTCACGTAGGTTTCCCAAATGAGCCTGCTTCCATCATTGCCCTCAGCACCATTAAGGAATGGCTGGCCAAGAATCATCACGAGGTAGGAGGAACAACAAAATGAGCAAACATTTAAGATGGCCTCATTTGATCCTCAATTTCAAAAAAAGCAGAAAAATATATCCATAAATATCAAGTAAACATAATCATTGAGATGGACCATGCTTCATTAGGGTTATATGGGTGATTGAATATTTTCCTGTAATTAATTTTCTGAAGGGATTTTGGTGATTGGTTTTTGTGGTGAAGATAGGCAGAACGATCAGATTCACCTAGCCATGATCTCATTTTTACGTTAGGTTTTTAAGTCTCATTTTTTTCATGAAGTTATCTTTGTTGACATGGTGTACAGTCATTTTTTGGTATCCTGAGGTCTCATTATTTATAATTAATCATTTCCATAAAGTAACTTCTGAGTGTGAGATTAGAGTAAGCCTGGATAATTGATAGCTAAATTCCCATGATCAGGATTTTTTATGAAACTAAATGCTTCTCTCAGACTTTTCACCATGCCTCCTATTCTGCTTATTTAATAAAATCTTTAGGCTGTGTTTATTGATGAACAGAATTACTCAAGTTAACAAAGCAACAGAATAAGTAAAGACACTATGGAGGCTTAGATTTCAGTTTGGGCAACTAACTGATTGTAACAATAGGTTTCGAACGGTGCGCAGCCTTGTGTGTTTTCCTTCCGATTTTGTTTTTCTCCTCAGATATTCATGTGAGTGCTATAGAGAATATTGTCCCATTTAGGATAGACCATGAATTTAGCTTTCTTCTTGGGTAGGACATGGATTATTTAGAAATGTTTGGGTATGGAAACAGACAATGGGGAGTTTGCTATAAGAGTAGCTCTTGGTGCCTTCGTGTATTTAAAGAAACTGCAGTGTCATTTTCTGCTAGTGGTTATATTTTCAATATTTCTTAAGTAGATACAGAAATTGTTAAACTCCAGTAGAGGTAAAGACCACATGGCCAAACACCATTTCGGTGCTCGTTCTTTCTTCTCCTCTTACTATGAAAGATATATATAACTTAAATTTAGAGGATGACTATAATAACCACACAAAAAAGCAGAATTTTAAAAAATAGTTAAAATAGCCAGTTTACAAAACATTTCTTTAACATGTATTATTTTCACAACAATCTCATGAAATATCTAGGATAGGTATTGTTATTCTTATTCTCATTTAGAATCAAAAGGTTAAGTGACATTCTCAGGACTTCAGAGTCACAGAGCCAAGAGTCAGGCTCTGTCCTCCTGACTCTAGCAGCCATTCCTCCTTGGGGAGATCCTGAACCAGGGAGAGACGTTTAGTCCCTTTGAAAGTGGTATTTTAAATGTATCTCTTGGTTACAGTAAAAGTTCCTCACTTGGACCATCTGCTTAGCAAAAATGTAGAGTGTTCATGAATAAAAGTTGATAATGGAGCTTGTACATTGGTGTAAGCCCACTATTACTACTAATAATCCAAGGGTATTCCCTACTGATGGATTCACATGTGTCATATTGGTATGTGAGGGAAGTACACACATCCACCCCAAAATCATCAAAGAGATGATTATGAAGAACAAACACGTTTGTTATATTTACAGCTCATTGACAAATCCTATGATGGATTTTTTCTGGTTAAACTATTCAGAAGGTTATTTTCCATAGAAATGTGTTAACTTAGTGTTTCCCACTTAATGGTTTGTGCCTTGATCTTCTTGTTAGCTTACTCTTTGTCTTTGAGTCTGTTCCCTTGCTTTCATGTCTTTTTTTTTGCTCATTTCTGGGGTCTGTTGTATACAAATTTAGGCATTTTGGTTTGAGGAACTCAGTTATTGCCTTTTGACTTTTGACTTTTGCCTTGCCTATTGACTTTTAAGATGTTATGTGCTAATTCTTTTTTTAAAGACTTCTTGTTTCAACATGCTTAGGCTAGTTTAAATAAGTTAGTTTGAACAAATCAGGTTGTACTTAATAAATGAATGGTAAGTGGTAGGGCATAGATAAAAGCTATACAAATTTATTATCTTGCAATATTTTGATTTATTTTTTGCTCTGTTACGAAACAAGTAAAGTAGTTTAGGCACTGGTAAGTCCGTTGTCTCTTCACAGGAGTATGATTTTGACATTCTCATTGTTTAAGCTACTTATTCATTAATTCCATCATTTGACAAGCATTTACTGAATCTCACTAAGCACCAGAAACTTTTCTAGATATGAGGGATAGAATGCTGAAAAACAAAATCGTCTTCTTATGATATTCATAGTCTGGGAAAAGAGACATCAACAAATAAAGAAATAAGATAGTTCAGAGAGTACTTTGCAAAGTAAACCAGGATAATCTGATAGTGAGTTATTGGAGGATGTGGTTTTAGATCATTTAGAAAGGGCTCTGAGGATGTAATCTTGGGACAAAGATTTGTGTGATGGGAAGGGTAAGCCAACCATAAAGAGGTCTTGAGGAAGAACATTCAACATAGAAGGAACAGCAGTAGAACAACCCTGGTGGGAAAATGAGTTTACTGTTTGCAATTAATGGTAGAGCAATGCAACTGGAGTAGAGACATAAAAGAATGGCAAGAAACGAATTTAGACAAATAGGTAGGCGTCAAATCACAGAGTGTTGTGGTTCATGGAGAAACTTGGATTTTTATTCTAAGTCTAGTGGGAAGTTGTTGAGAGTTTGGGACAGGGAGTGGCATTATGAGATTTCACCTTTAAAATGACAACAGGCTGGCTGCTTCTTGGAAAAGGGACTTTTGAGAGACCTCAGAATAGAAAAGGGAAGACTGATGAAGAGGATCCTATAGTAAATCCAGGCAAGAGATGAGGATTCTTTGAAATACAGGAATGGTAGAAAAGGAGGTAACAGCATCAGGTTTAGAATATATTTTGACAATAGAGCCAGCAGGACCTGGGGATTATTTTAGAGTAGCCCAGCTCATGCTGCAGTTACAAACAAATCTTAGTGCCATAAAACAGCAAAGGTTTATTTTATTTATTTTTTTTTTTTGCTCACACTATTTATATGTATTGAGTCAGCAAAGGTCTCTGGCTTAGTCAGGAACCCAGGCTGACAGACACTCCACCATGTGAAATATCATCTATCACATGACAGGAAAAGATAGACAATCAAGTAATAGCTTTTAAATGCTTCTACAAAGGAAGGATGCATATAACTTTTTTCTCACATTTCGCTGTCCAAAGCAAGGCACCCAGGAGATAAGAAAATGAAATTCTCTCATATGTTTAGAAGAGAGGCAAATGGATATCAATGAACAGTAATGTCTATCATAGCTATAAATCGGATGTGGTATATGGGAAAAATGGGAGAGTCAAAAATAATAGCTAGGTTTTGACCTGAGCCCCTTGGTAAATATTGGTGCATTTACTAAGAAATTAGGTAGAGGAAAATGTTTAGATGAGAAACAGAAAAAAACAAAAAAAAAATTAAAAAATAATAATTGAATTACAGATAGTTAAGCCTGAGATGATCTTAGATATGCAATGAAGCTTTTCAATAGTAAGTTGGTTACTTGAGTCCAAAGCTCAAGAAAGAAGTCAGATGGAAGGACATGGTAAAATTGATCAGATTATCATAACTCTAACCCTGGGTTTGGATCTTAGTTTGAGATTAGCTGAATGAATTATATGAAAAAGAGTCTTGAAATTCAAGAGCTAAAACAAGATAGAGCAGGGTCTCATGAGTGACCAGAATTGTAAACTGTAAATCCACAGGAAAGCAAGAGAGTTCATTTACATTCTCTCTCAATCTCTTTCATATCTCTATTTCATTTATTTATTTAGTTGTTTGTTTGTTTGTTTGTTTATTTTTTGGCACATATTCTCCACTACCCATTCACCAGCTTAATATGGCCACATGATGACTGGGACCCACTCATGAGTCATGGAGTCCTGCTCAATGCAAAGGCAAGGCTGAGGTTGGTGAGCAAAGTTGCATCTTCTGGATCTTTCAGCTGGCTATATCCCCTGAAATTTCCCTCTCAAGAAATAGGGAATCCATGTAAATGTGAATTGTATCAGTGGTCATACTTCTCTCAGTCAGATAAGTATGCAATTCAGACTTCATGATTTTTGATCACTGATAATTGATGTTGTCATGTGATTAGCGAGCCTTCATATTTCACCACTTATTTACCCTCTGATTTCTAAACCATCAGGAAGGGACATTTCTATTTTTTTCAACAATAGTTGATTTGGTTCTATTTAATTACACAAATCGCCCCCACCCAGCCTGTGTGGCTGGGCATTTCCACATTCAGAGAGGCTTCTCTGGAGCACTTGGGACATGACTAGGGAAAATATATTCTGTCATCTACCATTGACTTGTTTTATTTATCCAAAATCTGAACTGTGAGGATGCTGCTATCACCACATATTTAGGGGGACTCAGGGACCTGAGGGAGCCCAGCTGAACAAAGAGTCAGTTGGCTCTGACTGCAGCAGCTCTAGAGGAAGAGATAGAGCAGTGCTTTAGAGCAAAAAGGAGAAATCTCAAGAGGATGTAATTGGGGCAGAAAAATGACTTACCAGGACTAAGAAACATAATGACTTCTTATTGAAAAATTGCAAAACAAAAAAGAATATTCCCTGCTAAGACTTGAATTATTGTTCTCAGAAAACCAGAGAGTTGAATTATCTTACAAAACAGAAATACAAAGAAATGGAAATCATGACTGAGGAGATAAGGCATGTGGCAGAGAGACCCGGGGATCAAGTGTGAGGTAGGCAAGGGATGAAGATTACCCACTGGCATTTTCAGTAAAATTAAGAATTAAGAACTTCTGAGTTCAGAAAAATCACAAGAAAAGAATATCAGAGTTCACTCTGAAACAAATGACAGCATGTGGCATGATAACCTTTCCATAAGTGCCCATTTTTCTCAAGTAGAAACTTTATTACAGAGACAAGCAAACAAAATAAGGGGCCGTTATGGAAATGAGCAGCAGAAATGCAGCCCAGACTCTCAACTTGGGGTGGCTGGTCCATGTTATCATCTGCAGTTTCATGCATTCCTCATTCTTCATGCA